TGCGAATATTCCTATTTATCCTTAATAGTGCCTATGCCTTTCTTTACTAGCTGATCCAAGTTAACATCTTCACCAGCTTTTAAATATCATTCGAATGTCTTCTTCTATCTTTAGTAATGCTTATAACTTCCTCGTAGATGATCCACGATTATATTGTCTAACAGAATTGTATCTCAGAAGACTTTAAATACTGCTCAAATGCTTCCTTTTCATTCTTAATATTGCCTATCTTTTTATATGCGAATCAAAAATTACATTATATACAAGAAGCTTAAATTCCCTAGTTTCTACTTTTAATCGCTCATTTACTTGATCCAATAACACTCATTAACAAAAAAGCTATAATGAGTGTTATTTAATACATAAGTTAATAAATAAAAATTAACTTACTGACTGAGTTTTTTATTCCATCATTTAATCGTTCAAGTCTTGCTCTCATTCTCCAGCGATTTTGACGCGGAACACCAGAACGAGCAGATTCATTTGAAGAAAGGTATGATATAAGACTGCTGAATTTATTATTTGGAATGGATTTGGATGATCCCACAACCTTTCTCTCCATTCTTTGATTAGTATATGCCTCATGACTACGACGTTGGTTAATTAAAACGGCTAATTCAAGCTTCCCATCGATAACTCCAATATCAATATCCATTTCTACATTAAGATTCTGAGATTGCTGGGTAGAATCAAGTATCAAGTCTAATTGCGAACACCCATCAGAGAAATCTTCTTCTTCTTCGAGCTAGAGATAATAAAAATGTGATCAGAAAAAATCTTACCAGTAATAAAATATTATTTCAAATAAAATTGCATAATACTTAAAGTACGTGTTATTCTTACTTCAGTTAGTGTACTAAACTTGTCCCAAGCATTAACTTCTGAGGCTGCCGTTGATATAAAAATACTTTCAGTTATTTGTAAATTCTCATCTCTTTGAAGTTCAGCAGATTGTTCTTCGATTTCATTTTCCACTTCAACCTTATCATCATTCGGAAAAGCTACAAAATCATGAATTTGAGTATTTAACACCATTCCAAGAACGTCTCTAGCTAACGCGGTGGCTTGCTTATAAGCATGATGAATAATTCCTTTAATATCATCATCTAAAGGCCAACTCCGCAAGACATCCAGATTTTCTACAACACTCGAATCCGAATAATGTGAAATATAACCTAAAAAATATTAATTTTTTTTTTTTTTAAAAAAAGAAAAAAAAACTAACTATATTTTTATATAATAAGTTATAAGTATACTAACCAACGCCTGTTGTTTTTTCTCTTTCTGACTTAAGGGAGCCTGAGGAATATGCTTTATACAAGCATGCGATCTTAGGTGTTAATGCTACTAGATCATTAAATGAGAAGTCAGGAAGAAACTGACGGGCCAAGCCAAAAAAATGTTCACATCCTTCCGAACCATACATCCATGGAGTAAAAGGAAATTGGGGATAAAAATCGCGGTAAGCAATTATTAGAAGAATCTAAATATAGAAAGTTGTACGATTATTAAATATATATACTG